GGCAAAACATACAGAATGCGCTTAGAATTACGTAGATCATAGATTAGAGTTCTTATGCCTTTTAAAAACACCTTACTAAAACCTGCATCAGGTGAGTGCTTGAGGCCTCTAAGCTAAGACAGTTGGCAGCCACGCGGAGGGCTTGATTCTCAGTGCTCACGTGTGGAGTCTCGCGGTAAGAAGGCACAGCGTGAGTTTCACTGGTAGTACTTACAAGGATGTTGGAAAAAAATTTAGCTTTACTTTGTCACTCTGAAGTCTTATTAGAAAATTGGTTAACTAATTTTGCTTGACCAGTTCTTTACAGCTAAATTAGTATTGTACAGTAAGTATTGGGAGAATTGTTTAAACAGTTGGTAAATGGAGGTCATCGTTAGGAATTATAACCATACATACTTTTCACTTAAAGGAATACGTTAATAGGTATCACTCCCAACTGATAACCTTGATAGATGAAGGAATCGGGGAGGGTTAGACTTCCATTGTATTATTTTGATGAACTTTTGTCAGCAAGTTTTCTTGTAGCTTCCTGGCCATAAGTTGCAGCCATGTAAGCCTGAGAACATTTCCTTTGAATATATAGAATTGAGGTATTTCTTCTTTAAATAGCATACATTTTGAGACTATATTCCATGCTGCTAATGAATGTTAGTCTCTGCCCTCCTCAGTGTTTGGCAAATGTTAATACGGTTGGAGATGGGCCACAGTCTTCGCTGACACTGAACAGGAGGACTCCAGCCTGCTCTGCCCTCCGCCCCACTAAGCTCACCCAACACCGGTTCTGCAGGAGAGCCTGTCGTTTTCTTCAGTAGCCTGAAACAAACAAGATAGCCATATCTGCTGCTGCTGTTGCTGCTGTTTTTGTTTTTGTTTTTGTTTTTCTTAAATCATGAATCAACTAGTTAATAAGTGTCTGTGTATCATTTCCCAATTATTGGACTTTTCTCCCCTCAAAGTAAAGTTTCAATTTAAAGAGCTTCCCTTTGAAAAGATGGAGTTGATTGCTAGGAAGAATCATTTTTGCTGAGCATGTGTGTACATACTGTGTCTAACAGGGATGAGGTAAGAACTAGGAGTGTCTGAGAAGATGATCGACAGTAGAACATAATTTCTAGCAGAGAATAAGCTGTGCATCTTCATAAAATTGACTGCCTTTCTTTCGGTTGAGAGCGACTGCTGTTGTGTTGAATGCCTTAGTTATAACGGTAGACATTTTTAAAACAGACATTTCGTGTAGGGTCTTACCATGCAGATTAAAATCTATTACTTCAAATAGTGGGGTTCTTGTTCTGAAGAAACTAAGTGCTCTAAATAACGATAGGCACATAGCTTACTTGTAAGAAGAACACCCGTGGGGAGGGCAGGAGTTCGTTAACTGGGCTCCTGATAATAGCAGTCTTATCCAACAAAGTCTTATCGTGGCTTCCAAGGGCAGTTGTGTAGCAACTTGCAAGATGAATACCTAAATCTGTACAATAATGTCCTAAGAAAAATGTTGCCTTTGGCAAAGTTAGTTTCTGTATTATTACATAAAACGTCCTTTTAATGCTAAGCAATGTGCATTGTCAAAATATTTTTTTTAGGTAAATTACACTACCTCTTGTTGACCCAGGGTGGACAAATGTCAGAGGGTCCCTGGTGAGCAGGGGACACGTGGAAAAAGTAGCTGTCAGACAACGCTATGCATTAGAAAGAACTGGTTCATCTCTGATGATAATCCTCCTTGTTCCCAAGAATCAATGGTAGTTATCTTGAAAACTATATTTTTATATATTATTATTATAATTATTATTATATATTACCATATATATATATATATATATGGTAAGGCATAAATATGTTCATTAAATCTCAATATGAGAGACATGCCAGCTGAAATATTTCTTATATTACATAATTTCTGTAAAAGAACCTTTATATTCAAAACTGGCTTACTTTATGGGCAGTTCCCCAAAGAATACTGAATTTTTCCCTTTGGAATTGCTTGTATCGGACTGTCCAAGCTACTTGAAGAATATGAGCAGTCTCTGCCAAGTCCATACAGTAGCATGACAGTTAATGAAAACAGCCTGCTTCGCCTCTGTTGGGGGGTGGGGATTACCCAAATACATTTCATTTTCAGAATGTTTCTAGAAGGACTTATTTGTGGTAATGCCAACTGCTATTTAAAACTCGTCAAAAATGTGGGTTTTACAAAACACAAAAATAATGTCCGGAAAGTTTGGAAGGGTAGAGGGGCTGTGGTGTGGGGGCGGTCCCTGCTGCCCACGTCCGCCCTCTGCTCAGTGCGCCGTGTGCTCACGGGCTCCCTGGAGCAGATCACCATATAATTGATGTGCAGTCTGCATTGCTGAACCCTGGACTGCACCATTCTGTGTTCAAGGGAAGATGTAATCTGATCCCTCTGCTGCCGAGGGAGGAATCTGTTCCGTCAGGGCTTTGACAGGGCACAGTCTCCTCCAATAATCTTGTGGGTTCTCGCTCATTATTCCCCGAGTTCTCCTCCGTGGAGCTGCATGCGTGTGTGCGTCCCGAGCAGCGTTCTGGTTCTGAGCTGCGTCTGCTGCTGCTGCTGCTGGGGACTTCTGCTGCCGGTTCCGCTGCCTAATCTTCCTTTGCTGGCGTGCCTGAGCATGTCCACGTTAGAATCTGTGACATACCTACCTGAAAAGGGGTTATATTGTCAGAGACTGCCAAGCAGCCGGACACACGGGGGCACGGAATCCCTGAAGGGGAAAAATACAGAAAATATGGGTTTCTACGGCACATTAAAAATGATTTTTTACAAAGTAAGTATTCTGTTTTCTTCCTGTGGTGTGTGGTTGTGAGAGTGTGTGTGTGTGTGTGTGTGTGTGTGTGTGTGTGTGTGCGTGCCTGCCTGCCTGGGAAGGAAAATCTGTATCATCAGAGATGGCTGCAGTATCCTCTAATTTTGGTGGGTGGCTGGATGACTGCTATTCTGTTTTATTTCATGAATGTTGTAAGCAACTATAGAATGACAGTGTGAGCTGGGAGAAGCTTTAAAATGAAACGTATATTTCCATCTGAGAATTTTTCACTAAAAATGTATCCAGACTTCAGAAATGTGGCTCCGTTAAATGCTGACCTGGAAATAGTCAGCCTCTCTTGGCTTTTCCTGAACCTTTCTGTTCAGTTTTCCTGTACCATAGACAAACATATGTGTCCATTAGTTAACTCTTGAAGTATAGTCACTGAAATGTGTATGGTTTATATTTGAAGAGATTGTACTACTTGTGGTACCTTAAAAATTACTGATTAATTTTTGGTTGTAAAGTCAGTATTTTCAGTTAACAGTATGTAAAAGACTTGTATAGTCATTCACAAGGTGCTTTGTTTTATAAAATAATTTAAACATAAACCTTTCTCAGTGATTTTCTTGATATATGTTTTAAATATTTTATTCATTGAAAGATCCTAGATGGAAATAAAGTTTGCTTTCAGCGGCAGATGGCATTTGTACCAGCGTATTTACAAGACATTCTGGGAAGTTCTGAAAGCCAGTGCTACTGACTTAATTCATATGAGTGTCAGAGTTTCTCACCATGATCGTGAAAATCAGTTATCAAGTTCTATACTGACTGACCTTCCTGATAGATTCATTTGTGAAAATGTACATGTCTGTATATCTGTGAATTCTACATGTAGGAGCACATGGCTACCTACATATGACAACGTTTATATTATTTATGTTTGTTTCTCAATAAAATTATGTACAAAGAGAAGAAAATAATATATTTTGGAGATGGTCTTTAGATGATTTGAGTATACAAACTTCCAGAGGGAAAAAAGCAGGCCAGTTCCATTTCCCCCACTGGGTATTTCATAAACTAAGGAGTAAATCGTGCATAAGCTTCTTGAACCTTCACCCCAAATCATCCAGTGTTGACTGGAGGACTTTCTCCATGATGATAAAAAGTCCTTGCTGTCCCATCTCACAGTTAGAGGCTTTTTAGTGCTTTTTAGTATCTACAGTATATTTGCTGTGTTCCTGTGTGAAGCAGTAGTTAGAGGTTCCATCTTATTATAAAAACGAAGATAGTTATCTCCCCATAGCACACAGTGACACAGGAACTAGTGAGTACGTGCAAATCAAAGAGAGGCTGTTGAAAGAGAAAAAGTTGAACCTTAAAAGATCTTATTTTCTAGTTTTGACATAATCATATAGTCAAATGTCTTACGTTAACTGATAATGAACTGCAAAAATGAATTTTTCAATATCGACATTCACAAAATGCAATTTTGCATGTATTGGTAGCATACCATGGCATGGTGAGAACCTTTAAGGTCAATGTGTTGGACATGTCTTATACATCATGTATCACAACTCACTCTCTTAAAATCCTGCTGCTGCCAGGAGTGTTGTCCTGCAAGGGCTGTGCGCTCTGCACGTAGCCGTTGATGGCTTTTCCTTCAGCTGTGCTGGAGCAGAGGCAGTCTCTGCTGTTAGGGATGCCAACTGTCTCTGTTGCCCTTCTAGTTGCTTTCCTTATGATCACTATTCAAGATTAGCTTATTTACATCGCTCTCTACCTTTGTATAATGATATGAATGTTTAAAATTCAGTTACTTGTATTTCTAGTTATAAAAATTTTTAATTTTAAAGAATATTTTTAAAGAAAAATGAAGACTTGTAAGGAAGACATTAAATATGGTTGTTTTCTCTGTGTGCTAATAATTTTTTTCTTGTTATTAAACTAAAAAATATGGAAAGTATCACTCTAAGGATGTGATGAATATTAGCCTCTGACCAAACACTGTTGTTCCCAACAGAATACCAAGGAAGCAGTACCCATCCGGTCTGTAAGAGTTAAAGCAAATAGAAAAAAACTATGTAATGTATTTTCTATTTATCTACCAGTAATCACCATTGTAGACACATGTAAATTTAACACTTGAAAAATATTAACGTGCAGACTCAAAGTCTGATAATGGACAAGGTAATTTTTTTTTTTTTTAATTTCATCTGTTTTACCTTATAGATGAAAAGAAAGTTGGACCATGGTTCTGAGGTTCGTTCCTTTTCTTTGGGAAAGAAACCGTGCAAAGTCTCAGACTATACCAGGTAACGTTGAATGGGGGAGGGAGGACGTTTCCAAGCATTTCTTTGGGTTTGTCCTCACAGAGTAGCGATGCTCCTGTGTTCAGTGTTGCTGCTGTTGTACTGCATTTTGACGTTACTGAGTTGGGGAAGGGCATCAGTCTAAGCCAGAGCAGAGGGTCTGGCGCGGTCCATTCTTCACTCCCTCTAATGCACTGGTGCGGGCAGAACAAGAGGTTAAACTCACCATTTTAGGGATTTCTAAACAGTAAACCATGAGATCTGAGTGTGAGGAAATGTCTCTAGTTACTATAGCAACTGCTGTTCTAAAGTAGATGCTTACATATACCAAGTTGAAGATAAATTTATTAGCATTAGGCAAATCTATCTCCCAGTTACTAACTACATCTTACTTCATAGAATGAATGTGTTAGAAACCCCCATTTATCGGCTTGATTGGTTTTATGTTTAACACCTACATTTCTGCACTTGTAAAATAGTTCCCATAACAACTAAATACAATTGTAGTCTTGTTTCCTGCTTCACTCCCTCATTTTTGAATTTTCATCAGTATAAAACTTTGCTCACGCTCAAGTTAATTAGGCTAACTTAAGCACAATGTCTCATTTCCCAGCCAATTAAAAATGGCTTTGGACGTCACTTGGAATGCTGTATTTTAAAATTTAAATGACAAAAGTATCTTAAGAACCTTTGTGGTCCCCTTCCCCCATTTTGTATAATTGTCACTTTTTTGAATAACTGGTCAAAGTGAACAAGAAAAATTCGAAGGACATCATGGTTTTGATTTTCTATTTCTTTTTCTTTTAGTTATTTTATTCTATTGCCTAGACATAATTTTCCTTAACATTTTACAAGATTGTTAACCCCCTTTGTTTTTACTTCATTCAGTTGTAGACATTTTTTTAAAGCTCCTTTGTAAATTTAAAAAATAAGTTTACACACAGAAAGCTCTGGAGAGATGGTATACAGAAAAGAAGAAAGCTTCCTTCTCCAGAACAGCTCTTCTCCCCATCTTTCTCTCTGCGGTCTGACGATTTCACTGTTTTGGGCACTTCCACCAGAGGGTGTGGAGAGATAGAGAGACAGCTAAACTGTTCATTTCATTTGCTTTTCCTCCTAACCGTGATGATATGTTTCTCAGATGAGAAAGCTGAGTTTGCTGTTAAGCTAATTGTAAATGTAATTTTTTAATGCACAGATTTCAGTCAGTCTACATTATTTGATCTTCTATTAAAGACTTAATACCAAAAAAAGTATTAAATGTTCAGTTATTTCAGAATGGAATTTGTGCAGCAGAACACATTTTCATAAAATTTTAGTTGCTTGTTTTTATTTTGAGAAAACAACTGCCTTTTACCAAGGAACCGTACTAAAACAGACTTAGAACCAACACTATTTCCATGTCTTTGTCAGCTTTGTCAGTCAGCACCATACATGTTTGATATGTGGTAATGCTTTAACAGGGCGTAAGATGAAACTCATTTTGTTGTCCTGGGTCTCCCCCGCCTTAGGAAACTCTAACTATTAACACTTCTGGGGTGTGTTGTTTGTTTGGTTTGGTTTGGTTTTTGTTTTTTGATTTTTTGAATTTGCTTTTGAATTTGAAAGGAGGAAGGGATTGATTTACTTGTTGAACATCAGAGAATGTCTTAAACAGATACTGAAAGATTCAAAGGTACAAGCATAAAGATTTTTTTATAAAATGCATTGATTTAGGCATCATTTTAAAAAATTAACACTATCAGATATTGATAATCAGTTGTGATCGTACAGCTTATATGTGTTCTTTGGGTTTCTTTTAATTATTTTTCATTTTTGTTTTTGTTTTTTAACTTGAAACAAATTCACTATAACTCTGCTTGGCCTGGAACTCACTGTGTAGCCCAGGCTTGCCTCAAACTTGGGATAGTCCTCCTATCTCATCCTCAAGTTCTCTGATAACAGATGTGAACTGCCTGCTCTTTGAGTTTAAAGCGCCTTATTTTCATAGCTCAATGAACCGAGGATTCTTTCACAGATGTAATTTTGCTGAACAAATCTTGTCCTTTCAGTCCTGCCTGTAGGTCAGCAGTGCTCTCCTTGCCCCAACAGGAGATGCTCCAGCCGGCTTAGAGGAGCCACCACCCACGACACCACAGATGTGACTGTTTTCCTTTCTGCTGAGTGTTCGCAGAGAAACAGTTTCAGGGCTCAGTCAGAATCACTGTACTCAGCTCCACATTTATTTCTTTAGTTTGTTTCATTATCTCAAGTTAAATTATTGGATAAGAATGTTTCAGCAATCTCTTTCCCCTTAATTTTGCCTGACGGTTCTCTACACTTCTTTTGAAAAACTGCATGTCTCTTCAAGGCTGCTACTACCAGATACCTAGGCTCAGGTTAATAAATGACAATTTAAAATTAGGGATAGAGAAATATTGTAAATAATTTTAATGCATCAGGGGTAAGCTTTATGTATAAGCCATGAAATCCAAAAATATTTTTATCTGAAGTATTGATAACATTAATACTTTCACATTTCTTTTTATAAAGAGAATCTAACATTTAACTACCTGCTTGAAGAGCAGTTAGGGAAGTAGGAGCTGTCTGCTCTGAGGCCATGTTTGTTTGTCTGCGTGCTTAGTCATTTACTCACTCACTGGAGGTTAGGGTTGGACTCTGTGCACTCAGCCTTTGAACTGCTACTGATTACACTGCAGCCCTACAAAGATCCTACCAGCAGTGTAGAGGTTTGTCAGGCAGTCTTCCATTTGGTCGCCAGTAGAGTTGCTGGAGGGTGATAACGAAGAAACGTTGTTGTTACGGTAAGACCAAATGTGGTGGCACACGCCTATATTTCTAGCATTGAAGAGTTTGAAGTAAGAGAATTGTGAGTTCAAAGATAGCCTCGACTAGTAAGTTCGATGCTAGCCTCGACTAGGTAGTGAAAGCATCTGCAGAGCAGGAGAAAAACAAGAATAGCAAAATAGGCTTCGTGTATCCCTGCCCTCTGAGAGTAGCCAGCAAGTTTGAAGAACACCAGATCATTTTTCTGATTAAATCAGAGTTCACAGTTCTTCATTGAAACCTATCTTTGCTCCCACTCTTATTCTTTTTACTTATTTATTTTTAGTACCACTGGGCTTGTACCATGTTCAGCAACACCAACCACTTTCGGGGACTTGAGAGCAGCCAATGGGCAAGGGCAGCAGCGACGCAGGATCACATCTGTGCAGCCGCCCACGGGCCTCCAGGAGTGGCTGAAGATGTTTCAGGTGACTGAGCACACTGCTGAAATGCGTCCCTCAGTGGCTTGGGGTTGGGTGGGCATGCAGAATTATTCAGCCACTTAAAAAAAAAAAAAAAGGTTATGTTTTGTACTGTGCCATTTATGAGCATTGGAAATATTGTGCTAAGTGAAAGAAGCTAGATGTAAAAGGAAATGTTTATTAATAAAAAGAGGCAGAAAGAGAGGAGTGGGACTACCTGCTGAGCAGTGTGTAGGGTGTCTTCTGGGGAGGGTGATAGGTGTTCTGGAACTGGGTAGGCATTGTGATCATCCAGAAAGGCAGGCACCCTGGGAATCCCCTAAGTGTACCCTAAATAAGCAAGCCTGTTATGTGATAGACATACATCTTTCAAAGTGAAAGTACGGTGCTCGTTGTGGAAGTGTGTATGTACGTACTTTATTACTTTTTAAAGTAAGACCTTTATTTTCTGGTTCGGGTTTGGGTTTGGGTTTCTGTGTTATTGAATCATTCTTGTTTTCTGAACACACGGTAGCTTACCCTCCACTTCCTCCCTAATAGAAATGCTTGCAAATGCCTGCCGTCTGCTCAGATGCCAATTGCTGTCTTCACTACGCTTCACAGTGTTTGAACATTTACTGGGAAGATGAGTTGTCTTGATTTTTATAATTTTAGTTAGTTAGGTTATCTTATCTCTTCTTATTGTGAATGAAAGACTAAATCAAGAGCTTACCAAAACAACTGTCATAGATGAACTACTCAACAGTTCTTTCCAGACAATTATTAATAAAAATATGATCCTAGCCACTATACTAACATAAAATGAACACATTTCACTACTTCTGACTGCTTGAATTGTTAGGTATGTAATATACACAAGGAAATTATTATAACTTTAAAATAGATGTTGCTTTTGTCATTTTAAATATTTAAAGAGTCCTGTTATGTAAATCCTAACATTTTAAATACTTAGGTGCTGTCTGTACCTAGAAAACTTTTGCTTTTGTCTATAGCTGGAAAACTTAGGTGAAGTGACATGCTTTTCAGATGGGTTTGAACACTGCTTTGTGCCTTCTGTTGATTCCTAAAATACTAGCAAAGTGGGTTGGGGCAGGTGGAGCTGGCAGGTGTGTAGCCCTGGCTCTCAACAACGTTTGTTTTTTCCCCTAAATACTAAGTGAGGGATGGGATCCTTTTGATGGCCAGTAGGCAATTCTCATTCAAACAGCCTTCAAAATGTTGGTTAGAGAAAAGCTCATTAACAGGCTATTCCAAGTAAGTGTTTTTTTAATATGCTTAGGCCCATTCTTCCCACAGCATCTTAATGTACCAAAATATTTTTTTTTTTTTTGTAAGCCATTTATGATGTTCATTAAGAAAACTTTTTCTAGTACTGATTTGCAGTGGCGGCTTTAATGCTCTCTTTTCATGAGGCTGTTGCAGAGAGTCCTGCAGACCATGCTGTTTGGCTATCCCATACTTTATTTGATAAAATGTCCAAACGTTATACTTACTACAGCTCAGCTTCAGAAATGTTAACTGTTAAAATCAGAATACCAAACTGTGATTCGCTAAAGCAGCTTTGGTCCTGTGAAAGTGTGTCTGTTTCCTATGAGTAGTTGTAGTGAGAGAGCTCATTCTTAGTTCACAGAAATAGTGTAGAATTAAAGAACTTTTTTTTTTTCTCAAGACATTCTGAAGCAAAGAAATCTGTAGCAACTAAAGGTCAACCTGATAAGGTAGACACAGCCTTACCCTTCTGCATTCCAAGTTTGTCGCTGACATAACCCAGGCCTCATTGTTGTATTCTGCCCTTATCTTAGCTAGGGTTTCTGTTGCTGTGAAGAGACACCATGACCACAGCAATTCTTATAAAGGAAAACATTAAATTGGGCCTGGCTTGCAGTTTAGTCCATTACAATCATGGTGGGAAACATGGCATCATGTAGGCAGACACAGTACTGGAGAAGGAGCTCAGAGCTTTCCATCTTGATCCAAAGGCAACAGGAGACTGTGTGCCACAGTGGGTGTAGCTTGAATATATGAGACCTCAAAGTCCACCCCAACAAGGCCACAACTCCTCCAACAAGACCACACCCCCTAATAGTGCGGGTCTCTCATGGCCAAGCATTGAAACACGGGAGTCTCTGAGGGGCCTATTGAAGCCACCACATTGTTGTACTGGTTGGTTGTGTGTCAGCTTGATACAAGCTCTAGTCACTGCAGAGAAAGGAACTTCATTTGAAAAAATTTTTCCATGAAATCCAGCTGTAAGGCATTTTCTTAAATAGTGATCTGTGGGGGGTGGGGGAGAAGGAACCAGCCCATTGTGGGTGGTGCCATCCCTGAGCTGGTGGCCCTGGGTTCTATAAGAAAGCAGGCTGAGCAAGCCATGAGGAGCAAGCCAGTCAGCAGCACCCGTGTCTTCTGCATCAGCTCCTGCCTTCAGGTTCCAGCCCTGCCCGAGTTCCTGTCCTGACTTCCTTCAATAATGAACAGCAATATGGCAGTATAAGCCAAATAAACTTTTCTCTCCCAAGTTTGCCTCTTGGTCCTGCTGTTTCAACACAGCAATAGGAACCCTAACTGAGTTGTCGTTGCTGCTGCTGTTGTCGTCGGTTTAGTCTGTGTTGTGTCTAGGCTGGTGCCAAGCTAACTAAAACTGGATTGCTTGCCTGGAGGCTTTTGATGCTTCAGTGCCCATCTTATAGACAGCCACAGCTTCACAGCAAAGTAGACTGGTGTGAGCTGATCTGTGAGGGATAATTCAGCTGGCAGTCTTTCTACAAATATGTGACTGGGACATTTAATGGTGACTTCCCTGCCAGGCAACAAGCAAAATGGGAGTTCTTGTCCCCTCACTGTCCTCCTATTGCTCCTAAGGCAGTGATAACAGCACACGGTCCAGCTTCATCTGTTCTGACAAAGTGCTCTGTACTTCATTTATCAATTGAATGGGAACAAATGATACACCACTGTAGATACCAGCCTATTGATGAAAAACAGACGTGGAAACCAAAGACAAAGGCAAAAAAAAAAAAAAAAAACCAATTCAAAACAAAACAAACAAAAAAACAACTTTGCACCATTTAAATTGATTCAACTTTATAGTGGCCATTGTTTCTGCCTTTTTCCATAGCCAGGGGGCAACGTTCGTTTGATTATTTATGTAATTTGGGAATTAGCATATGGTTTTTCACTTAAAAAAATTGGAGTAGGTAAGGACACTATTGGAATTAGCCCTTTATGGTTCAAAGGCATCGTGGAAGAGAAGCATGTATGACCTAGATGGAAAAGCTGTTAGTTCAGATTTTGCCTTTGCCTCTTAACTAGTGGGTAATTTGTTATGAAGTCAGGGTTCCCTTCATTTTCATTTTGCATAAAGCAAATATTACACTCAAAAGTGTCCTGAGGGAAAAGATGCAGATAGGCACACGGTTCTACATGGAGGTGCAGTGGAGCCCTGCAGATCAGCGTCCTCTGCTGCTCAACACAGCTTGGGGCCTCAGCTGTCGTGGCTTTAGAAGGGCCTATTGGTACTAGCTTCACCTAGGACCCTGATAGACAAGGTGAAGTGCGAGCAACAGCTTTTAGCATTATACAAGTGTCTGAGCACTTTATTGAACATTTGCATTAGAGATGTGTGTTTTGGAAAGAACTGTTAGACTCAAAACAAAAATTAAAAAAGAAAAAATAACTTGTTTTCATATTTATGATAAATAAAATCTATATTGAAAGACTTATTAAGTTCCATGCTAGATCTGAAATCACCTATATTTTTTATTTTACTTAAGTCTTGTTAGTCAACAAAAATTAAAATCTACAAGAGAGTGGCAAAACAAGGGCAGTTTTTGTTTCTTTGAGATTGTATTTGTTACAGCATGATTAAGAAAGCTTATCAAACCTAGTATGATGAAGTTGAAGAAATTCATGTATGTAGTCAGGGAAGACTAGAAAAAAGAACTCTGTTTAATAGTCCAAAAACCTTACATCAAAATAAGGACAGATTGAGTCTCGGGTTCTCTAGAAAGTTATCCCTTGCTCAGGTTTCCCGTGTCGGGTCATGAAGCTGTCTGGACTAACAGGGAGAGCTGCCCGCAGTAGGATGGGAGCCATTTAAATAGAGACTGGGAAGCTGGGAATGCTGGCTCAAGCCTGTAGTCCCAGCAGGAAGGGTGGAGTGTGCCTCTAAACCCAGTCCAGACTACTGTGCAAGGCCCTGTGTCAAAACAGCCGTCAGGTAGACTGCAGTGCCACGCTCTGGTTAGAGAGGTGAGTTTTCTGCTCAGTGCTGCCCAAGATCTTGAAGCCTTGTGCCTGTGGGAATGGTGTTCCCAAGTGCTGTTGATGAGTTGCCTGCATCAACACCTGATGGGTTGCTTGTGTAAAAAATAAAGTATCCTTGCAGTGAATTGTGGGCCCCTGGGCAGTGTTTGGGGACCACTGTGCCAGACCAAGTTTCTCCTGCAGGCTTCAAGCTGTAAGCAGGCAAAGGACTTTGCCTGGGGAATAGAATAGAAAAACAAAGATGGGAAGCTGAGACGCCATCCAGAGACCATAAGGAGGTCTGAAACCATCATGTTGAAGAGGTCCTGCTAGCTTAGATGTACAGTAATGACTAAGGTTTTGGTATGTGTTAAGATTTGTGGGTCTGTCTCTGAGCCCCTGCGTCTGCACTCTTACTCTGCCCGCAAATGCTTAATTAAAATTGCAGTTTAGTTGAGTCTGTATAGTTGCCCCTTTCCCAAAATGGCCATGGCCATGACAGTGTCGACAAGTTTCTTATAATGTCGGTTAGGTGGAAAAAACCAACACATTATTTAAAAAATTTTTTCAAATACTGTGAGGAATGTGAGTCAATAAATACGTAAATTTAAGTTATTTATCCTGTATGGTCAGTGACGAATCTAAATTGACCATGCTGCCAGATGGGTAAAATCTCAGGCAATACCTGAAGTGCTGTGGGAGAAGACAAACAATCCAGTGCTTTCACTCATGTGTGGGGCCTCCATGTTGTATTTCAAACCTCTGTGTGTAGATCCATTCTGAGCACAGAGGATTCAAGATGAGTGCTTGAGGTGAATGTTTTGAGCATTACGTGTATAAGTAAAAGGAGAAGCGTGACTGACGAGAGCTGCTTCTTCACACTGGCAATGTGGATTAGGCCATGGACATAGTTCAGTACTGACAGGTGGGCATAGTGCTCACACCACCTTTTAAGAAGAGGCAAGGTCGTTATGAAATCTAAAGGAGTATTCCCAGGGGCTGGAGAGATGGCTCAGGGAACACTGGCTGTTCTTCCAAAGATCCTGAGTTCAATTCCCAGTAACCGCATTGTGCCTCACAACCATCCAAAATGTGATCTGGTGCCTTCTTCTGGCCTGCAGGCACACATGCTGACAGAATACTGAATAAATAAATCTTAAAAAAAAAAAAAAAAGAGTGCACTTCAGTGCACTTCCTGGGAGCTCGGCGCTCATTTATCTTAGATCTCAGGGAATCAACCGCAAGTACTAGAGTAAGGCTGAGGCCCGGACTGAGGCTCTATTCATCCGTGTCCAGAATCGCCACAGTAACCCCCAGGGGTGTTTACCTCAGCACAGATTTACAAAGGCCTGCTTGGACATGCTTTCACTTAATAATTATGAAGTTACTTAAATGCTTTACGTGGTTATCATAAAATTCCAACATTTTAAATTACTCACATGGACTTAAAATTTTTCATTTTTAAGAACCATGGCTTTTCTCAGCAGTCATGCTCACTGGGAGAAAGATATTTAAAAAAAAAAACAAAACAGAAAAACAAAAACAGGTTGTTTTTTTAAACAAACTTTTATTTTTGAAGAGCAGTATATGTTTTTGTTTTTCATGAGAATAGCATTTTTTTCATCTTTTTGGTCTTTGTTTATATTCTAATTATGCAATATTAACTCAGCTAATCTTTACCATTGCTCGCTGTTTGTTATCAATATTTTTTATAAAACAGCATTTTTTTAAAGTTTGTAAAAGACACTTACAAATATGCAGAATATCCAGCTATTATTTTCTTTCTAAATGATGTTACAGATCTCTTAGCTCTTAGATGAAAGCCTTATTCAAGCCATAAAATTTTATGGCTGTCCACTAAAAAAGAATATAGAGAAAGAAAAATGATCTATCAAAATTCTTTATTTATTCAGTAACCCAGATTGATGTTTCTAGAAGAAGATTTTGGTATCTGCACCAGTGTCTTGGGGTTAAATGAATGCATAACTATTATAATAAAAATAAATGTACATTTTTTTTTCTGCCAGTCATGACAGTGCTTTGTGAGAAAGGTACTCGGTTGAGTTGCTGAAACTAAGAACTTGAGTTGTGTCAGTGTTCTGAGACAAGGGGCATGTTCCTGGTGCCTTTCCATGCGGTGCCACTGCTCACACATGGACGTTCAGGTGCACGGGGTCCTGTGTGTGAGTCTGTAATGTCTCTGCTCCCTCTTTGGTAGAGCTGGAGTGGACCGGAGAAGCTGCTGGCTTTAGATGAGCTCATTGATAGCTGCGAGCCCACCCAAGTGAAGCACATGATGCAGGTGATAGAGCCCCAGTTCCAGCGAGACTTCATCTCCCTGCTCCCCAAAGAGGTAAGCACGGCCGGGCGCGCCCCCACATGCTGCTGCCCCCAGTTACGCAAGGAGTTGTCTTGCTGATTGTGGCTTCACACTTGGACAAACTGCTGTGTTTAGTGACGCAGTTACCACATGCAGTATGCTTATAACCAAGGCACTTGTTTCTTCTGCCTAGAGAAGGCGAGGCTTCGAGGAGTCACTGAGTCTCTGTAAGGGTTTCCCTAGGTCATCTGAAGCCTGGCTGTAGTTATTATTTATAATGGGTGGTTTCAAAATTCTGGATTCATTAAGCAACAATACTATTTTTGTTCTGTTAATTATTTATCTTATGTTCCTTCAACACCAATAGTTTTATGATTGCTGTATTTCTCTGGTTCTTATATTATGTAATTGTTTTTTAATACATAGAATTTTATGTATATGCCCTTGTGGCATTTCTAAATCATCCTCCATCTGAGAGACAGACAGGCAGACAGGGATGGTGGGAAAGAGAGAGGTCACATATAAATTACAGTCTTACAGCACTTCATCACAGCCATTTGTGGCATTACAGTCTTATTTAAATACTGCATCTATTGACATTTTAGACTTCACAGCTTAATTTTTATCAGCATAAAGGAATAATATTAAATAATATCCCCATCTTCTATATTTTCTCAAATTACTATACACATGCTACTAATTAAATGTCAGCTAATAAGACAGCACAAAACACTAACACGTCATGCAGAAGATCCTAAAACCTCAAATTTGAACAGAGAAAGAGGAATGCTTTCTCTTTTCTTAGGTAACCACTCTAATTTCCTAGTGGCATTAAATGTAGCCCTAGTTAGGATTTCACATTAGATTTGAACGAAATCAATGAAAAGAAGCATAACTCTGAAGAAAAGCAAAAGGGATAAAACATAATTTCTTGGTACTTTTTCCCCTTTGGAGTGCTTTTTCATAAATGAAGTGAGTATTCATCTTGATATTTTACATCCCTGATACGCTTCTTTAGAATCTTAATTTACAGAATCTCTCATAGCTTAGTGTTTTTACCTCTGTGAGAGTAAGTTTTCTATTTTGTTTTTGCTTTAATTCTAACTTTTATAGCTAACTCTTAGCATGCAAAAACTTTGCTGACCTCAAATCAATATAATTTAAAAATCTTAGTGGTGAACCTATGTGCATGCAGGGCTTCCTGCACACGGGAGCCTGTGGAGGGCAGAGGAATGCACTTGTTCCCATGTTACTTTTTGAAACGTAGTCTCTCACTGACTCGAGTTGACCCACTCAGCTAGATTGGCTGGCCAGGGAGCTCCTGTCTGTTCTCCCCAAGGCGGCTGCTGTAGCCAGAGCTGCTATGCCTGGCTTTTAGCAGAGTACTGGTATCTGAGCCCTTATCTTCATGACTGAACATGAAACGTTACCAAATGAGCCATTGCCAAGCCCCAAAATTTGAAAATATTTTAAAATTTAAGAAGGAAGCACAGATTAATAATAAAAGATAAAGCCCAAAAGATTCTCTTGGCTTCCATGTTCTTTCAAAGACATCCTGAGGAAAAAAAAAGAATCGGAGTTAGAAGAGAGCCCTGGTTTAGCCTATTATCTATGTTCTTTGTTTCCAACTTTGGGGGAGGGAGGTTCTTAATTTGGAAAATGCTTTATTTCCTATGTGGAAGAATAGTAGCATAGCAGCATAGACCCTTAGGGAAATGTGTTATCAGAGAGCATGTATTAAAACATTCTGACCATATTGACATAAAATGTTGTATTTGTCTAATAATTGGTGTGAACAAATCTCGTCTCTCCTTACCAACAGTTAGGTTAATCTAAGAACTTGACCAGTAGGCTCACAAAAGAAACGTGTGAGAAGTGCCATATTGTTCTCACTTTGTAAGTAAATACCAATAAAATCACAGGCCGTGTAGAATAAAGCCTCAGATTCTTAATCCGAGATTACTGAGCATGGGTTTGCTCTGCAAACACTGCTTTTCTTGACTGGCTCAGCCCACTGAGAATCAGCAGTCCTGGGGAGATTCTTGTCCTGTGAAAAGTAACCCCTTTTTCTTCTGTAATGTTTTGAAGTGTGAGCATGCTATGCTGCCCTTATTCCCTTTTCGATAGCTGGCACTCTATGTACTTTCATTCCTGGAACCCAAAGACCTGCTGCAAGCAGCTCAGACCTGTCGATACTGGAGAATTCTGGCTGAGGACAACCTTCTCTGGAGAGAGAAATGTAAAGAAGAGGGTAAGGCTCAAAATCACACAGAGAATGTGTTTCTACTCTGAGGAAGCAGAGGATTCTGGAGCGTGTTGACACAGTGGTGTTCCTGTTGAGGCTGGCTCAGTGGCGCCTGCCAGAGTGAGTGCACTGTCTTGATCCCAAGTCAAGCCGTCCTGCTTACTCAAAGGAAGAACAGTGGGCACTGTGTCCACTCCTCCCGTAAATACTTACTGGACCCTCCTGGGAGCTGAGCATTCGCAGTGCTGGGGAGACTGTACTGCCTCATCCTGCTCTTCCTGTCCTGGAAGCTTTCTTAGGGAGTAAGAATTCTCCATATTGATCAAAGGGAGGACCTTTTGTTCTGCAGTCATTGTGTGAAAGAGAAGAAAGAGGTGGTGAGCACAAACCACCACAGCAAACGCAGGCGCACTGCTGCACAGTTAGAGTCCGAGAGTCTGTTTCAAGGTGCTGAGCGGGAAGCACAGGTCTTTATGAATGTGTGCTTTTCCTCAGTGCTGAAGGGTGTTCTTCTCTTGCGCTCTTTGGTACTTTAGGGATTGATGAACCGTTGCACATCAAGAGGAGAAAAATAATAAAGCCAGGCTTCATACACAGCCCGTGGAAGAGCGCGTACATCAGACAGCACAGAATTGATACGAACTGGAGGCGAGGAGAACTCAAGTCTCCCAAGGTAAGGCTCCTGATGTGCGGCAGAGACCTTCAGTCCATCTCCGTGCCTGGCCTCTGCTCACTTGCTGGCCGCAGTGGGACCTGATGCTGACCTTCTGTGGGAGGAAGGCTGGCTGTGTTTCAGAATTAATTCCAGTTAACCCTAATCAGCAGGGTTCTTCTGTTTCCGGTACCTTTAATCATGAGGAGTTTGCAGCCCTCTAGCCACATAGGCCAAATAAGGTGTGTTTGTTTGTTTGTTTGTTTGTTTGTTTGTTTGAGAAATACCAGTTTTGGGTTTTGTAAATTTTTCTGTGGTGTGTGTGTGTGTGTGTGTGTGTGTGTGTGTGTGTGTGTGTGTGTG